CTGGTGTTTGGGAAATTTGATAAAAACAAAAGAAAAAATAGTTTCCTATTCTTACCTATAAAAGAAATATTAACTTGTCTTCAATAAGAAAGAAATGGTAACACTTTCCTTTTTTTTCCTGTATTTTACACCTTTTTATATTGGTAGAGAGCTCTGCACACAGCAATAGCTAATTGATATCAATGACTTGGTCAGTTTTACTGGAATTATGCCTAAAATCCCTTTGGCTATGGGATATTTCATTTTGAGGAGGCATGTTTTACTCCCTCAAAGGAATATTCTATCGCCTCTTCTTACATTGTGGGAAGCTGAAGAACCCTTACAGCAATCAATGGAGCCTGAAAGCTGTTGTCATGGCACATGGTGTTTATTAGTATTAGTGGCAGATTGAATACAAACAAAATTGAAAAATTTAGTAGAGTAATTGGAAGATAAATTTGGAGATATTTGTTGAAAGTTCAGTAAATGGATGAACAGATTGAATATGTAAATCTTAGAGTTCCAGGTGCAGAGAAACAAATGCAGATTTGAGTAGATTCAAAGATCCCAGGAAAACTTACCAAACATGTATGAATGTATAAAAAGGAGGTCTATAAAACTAAGGTAGCATTTGAGAGTAAATTAGTAGTAAGTACTTAGAAATTAAACAAAAAAATTAAAATTAAACTTATGTACTCTAAGAATACATGTTATGCAGAAAAGGACATATCATATTACACTATATACTTCAAATATATAAATTACTTGCAAATGTTAACAACACATTATCATGTTTCACAATGCTAATAATGTTAGCATTGAATATGAAACTAAGCAAAATTATAACCTAACTATACTGGGAAGATATGGCGAGAGGAAGTATGCAATGCAGGTGAAATGATAAATGAAGAGCGCTTGAAAGACTGTTTTTAAAAGACTTACATTTCATAGTGGAAAATCAACCCACAATGCCTAGCACTGACAAATAAAGGAGCAGTAATATAGACAGGTATGCTTGTTTATATTGGTAGGCATGTCCCAATATCTGTCTTCTCATCTTCCAGAATAATAGAAAGCTTAACTTGGAACATGACTGGCACACATTAACTAAATTTGCAGCTTCCTTTGCAGTTAGGAATGACAATGGGACTAAGCACTAGTCAATTGGAGATAAATGTTTTTTGGCAGTTTGTGGAAATCCACTTTAAAAGATAGATGATATATTATCTTTTCTCCTTTCTTCCCATCTCTATTAAACTTCCTGGATGATAAATATAGTAATTTTGGACTCTGCAGGCAAGTCCTGTATTGTAAGAATGGCAGGATGGAAGGGAGAACGCACTAGAATCTCTGAGGTCTTCATAGAGCAGAACTGCTTTCCCAGGTATGAATTGTATACCCCAGACATAGAACTGAAATATCTTGCTCAAGTCACAGTTGAGTCTTTCTGTTACTTACAGCCGAACCTATAATTAATATTGCACATTATTAATTGATAGAGTAAATACCAAAGGAATTATAAATTCCAAAGGAATCATCAAGGGAAGAAAGTGATTGACCTGATAATTGGGAAATGATAGGAAGAAGAATGAGAGAATGAGGAAACATTTTTTTCTAGCAATTTTTAAAGAACTTGATTCCTTGAGCTTATGTGCATACATTACTTTTTTTTTTTTTTTTTTTTTTTTTTGCATAGAACTGGGACAGGCAAGAGGTGCAGGGAGTTAGATGATTCACCAGAAACAGATTGGGGAGAAGAAGAAAATTTACTGAAATACACTGCTGAGGGAAGCAATGGGCTACACAGGAGAGGTCCACTGTGCTTTATGTGGGTCAACTCCCTGGTCAGGGATTGAATTCAGGCAGTAGAGGTGATAGTACTGAGAATTAATCCCTAGGCCACCAGGGAGGCCCATAGCTTTGATTATCTAAAAATGAAATCAACAATTACAATAAAATTCATGTTATGTATGTCCCTGTTCTTTAGTTTAGGGTCCTTGTACTATGACCTCACTTCAATCCTTCTTTAGCCATTTGTATTCTTGGATTATCCTTCTTCTAGATTCCAAGTTCTTAATAGTGGGAAAGATGTTAAAGCATTTCCTTTCCTTCTTAGTATACATAGCATAGCAGCATGCCCATCTGGATCCTAACATAATAAAAAACAAGGAGGACTCTGAGTTGGACAGTATTTTCTTTGAGAATTTGCATTCATTTTGAGAAATCGGTACTTTATGATCTCTCACTTTACATCTTCTTCTTCATGTGTATGTGGAAAAAATATTATTTCTTCATCTACAATATTTCTGTGTTTTGTTATGTGTACTCTAGTAGTACTTCTTGCTTGAATATTATTCATATTTGTTTGCAAGAGTCCATAACATCTCTTGTAAACACTTTGTTGAATAAATCATGGGATGGCCCATGGTGGAAAGATTTCACCACAAAAATAAACAAATGCTATAAAATCATGGCTTGTTTTTCTCTTTAAAGAGCTGATTGTTAGATACTTGCCATTACATCAGTGTCACTATCTAAATCCATTTCTTAAAATTGAAATAACATCAGTTTGTATCATTATTTAGGTATCAGGTCTACAGATTTATATATCAACATCTATATGTACTACAACAATATGCTCATCACAGTTTCATTTCATCCTCTATAAAGTTAACTCCTTTTACCCAATTAATTTCATCTTTCCCTTTTAGTAACTATTTTATTCTTAAAGTTTTGAGTTTCTGTATTGTTTATTCTTTATTTTGTTCATCTACCACTTATGAGTGAAATCATATGGTGTCTCTGACTTAATGCACATAGCACAATCCCTTCCACTTCCATCAATGTATTTGCAAATGGCGGAATTTCATAATTTTTTAATAGTGTAGTGGTATTCCACTGAGTAGATGTACCACATCTTTATCCACTCATCTGCTGATGGACATTTAGGTTGTTTCCTACTCTTGGCTCTATATGAATAATGCTGGGGTTGTATATTTTGCTTTGATTTAGCATATTTCACTTTAATTTAGTGTTTTGGTATTTTTAGATAAAATAGTAATGGAATAGCTGGATTATATGCTATTTCAATTATTACTTTGTTTTGAGGAATATTCATACAATTTTCCATAATGGCTGCACCAGTTTGCATTATAACCAACAGTTGATGAAGGCTCCCTTTTCTCTACATATTTGTCAGCATTTATTTCATGTTTTTGTAAGGACTTATTTGAACAACAAGAAATTCAAATCAGACAGTACTCAATCTAGCAGATATAAAGGAGCTCCAAGGAGATGTACAAAATGAAAGGAGTACGGAAATACTACTAGACAATAAAGTAGGCTGGTACTTGGGTTATTGTCCTTTAGGAGATGGCAGGTAGTTATCAGGCAAATTTACCTGATTAATGATTCCTGCTTGGTTTAATATTGCACTTAAGCAAAATTTGAAATGTAATTATATCTGTTTGGTGTTTTCCCTGTGTATGCATGTATGTATATTATTGAAGTAGTGCATACATCCCTTTGAATAATTTTATCCTCTTTGCATAAGTATCAAGGAGTGCAATTTCTGGATCACATGGTGTAATCCATACTATCTTCCATAGGGGCTGGACTAGTCTATATTCTAACTAATAGTGCAGAAAGTTTCAATTTTCTCCACACTGTTGACAAAATTTTTTCTTCTGTTTCTTTTTTTTTCTTGTTTAATATAGAGCATACTCACAAGAGTGAGGTGGTATCTCATTATGTTTTTGGTTTTCATTCCCTAATGATTAGTGACATGCACATTTTTTTCATATTCTTATAGGCCATTTGTATGTCTTCTTCAAAGAATTGCCTTTAATAACAGCCATTCTAGATGGAGATGATACCAATATCTTTCAAATGAAATGTAAACCACAGTTACCATGTTTGATCAATATAATTTTTCAATCTATCATTTGTTATATAATTTGTAAGATATTTTCCAGATCATCTCATACAATTCTTTAAACAGCATGTTTAAAAAGTGTTATTTTTAATATACAATATGATTTACTTAAAAATTATAATGAAAAGATTTTTAATATTATTACAGGAATGCACAACAATCATTACTGTCTATGTTTAGAACATTTTCATTTGCCAAAAAAAAACTCCATAACCTCTTATGCTACTCCCCATTTCTTACCAAAGTCCTGACAACCACTAATCACTAATCTACTTCCAGACTCTAGAAATGTTCATCTTCTGGACATTTCATATAAATGGAATATAATAAAACATGAGGTCTCTTGCAACTGGCCTCTTCCAGTTAACATAATGTTTTCAAGATTAAACTATTCGGCAGCATATTTCAGTATTTTATTGTTTTATATGACTACATAAAATCCCAAAATATGCACATATAACATTGTGTTTACTCATTACTTTATGGAGAGAGATTTAGGCTGTTTCAACTTCTTGGCTATTACAAACAATTTTGTTATGAACACCCATGTATAAGTTCTTAAGTTGGACACACATTTTTTTTTTTTTTGTTAAGGATAAACCTAGAAGTGGAATTCCTGGATCATGTGATAAGTCTATGCAAGAAATATTAAGGACTGCTTTTCAAAGTGGCTAAAACATTTTGCATTTTCACTAAAAGTATATAATGTTTCCAGTATTGAAACATAATGTCCAACACTTATTATCATCTGTCATTTTTACTATCACCACTGTGGTTTTGATTTTCATAATGACAAATCATGTTGAATATATTTATATATGTTTACAGGCCAGTTGTTATCTCATTTGTATACATTTCTATTCAAATATTTTATCTTTTCATTACTGAAATGAAAATGTTCTTTATATACTCCGGCTACACACTCCTTATCAGATATATAATTTGAACATATTTTTTAAACATATTTCATTTCATTTTGTGTTTTATCATTTTCACTTTTTGATGGCATTGTTTATAATACCCTGTACATTTTAAGTTTTTTTTAATGACACAGCTACAGCATGAAAATTCTTGAAAAATGTCTTACCCGAACTATTTCACAGTCAACATTTAACTCAGTTGCAACTGCTTCGATTTTCTCTCTGCAAACAGAGCCAAGGCTGGTCATGCCATTGTCCCAGTATTTCTTAAGGGTGGTTAAGTCTTGGTCACTGAACTGAGTGCGATCTTGTAACTGTAAAAAACATTTTTAAAACTTAGAATAATCAAAATAATATTATTGAGACCATAAGGGTGAGAGATGTTGTTACTTTTAATACATAATACTAATTAAATTCATTGTACAAGTATTACTCTGAACACCTCAATTTCAAATGATCATTTTATAGCATTAATTTCTATCACATTAATATATGCTAGAATAAAATGAATTAAAAAAATCAATAGCAATTAAGCAATGTTGATTTTAAATGGGTTTAATCACACAAATAATGGGTAACATTGCAGAAAATACAAATTTTAATAGTACCCACAATCCTATATATTACAATTATTAACATTCTAATGTGCCTTCTTTAAGATATTTTTTCTATGATAACTGCATTCACATTCACACCCTATATATAATGAAAAAGCAAAGTTGGTCCCTCCCTGGTGGCACAGTGGGTTAAAGCAAAGCACTAAGGAGCTAAAGCCACTTCAGCATAAGTTCGATTCCCGCATGCCCTGCAGGTGATCCACATGGCACTGCAGACCTCTCCTGACCCGCCCGCTGCTCGTCTTAGCAGTGTACTTCTTCAGTCAGCCTGTTCTGCACCCCACTCTATCTCTAGTAAATCTTCTCACCACCCCTGCACCTCTGGCCTGTACCCCAGTTCTGTATGAATAAATAAATAAAAGCAAAGCTGGATGATATCACTGTGTTGCATTTTGGTAAGTTAGTGGATATTTATGATACATAGGACTTCTAATGTTATGACTAATTAAGTGTGAATAAGAGAACTTGAAGAAGGTAATGTAGTTTGAAAAGAGTAATCATGTTTATGATTTCAGAAAATTTCATAATCACCCTATCTTTTCTTTCTATCCAACAAACTATAGGTTTTATATACTGTATTAATTCAATGAATCCTGTAGGCATCCTTAGGAAATATATCAGAAGCATGATAGGATGTTGACCACCACTTTGGAGATTATGAGTCAGAAAAACAAGGGTCAAAGGATTAATTAAACAGAACACAGTGTGTCTACAACAGAGATACAAAAAGAAAAACAACTGATTTTTTAGTAGCTTACCTTTAGGATATCTCTAATTTTATCAAGGGGAAGTGTTAAAAAAGCTAAAAATGAATTTTAACTTTAAATACAGATTCTAACAATTCCAGTATGTTAATTCATGTTTTTGTGAGGAGAAGGGGAGAGGGTGTGGGGAGGGGAGAGGAGAGAGGAAGGAACAGAGTGGAGAGGAGGGGAATGGAGAGGAGGGGAGGGTGAGATAGGGAAGTATGGGGAGGGGAGGAGAAGGGACAAGAAGGGAGTAGAAATAGTCTGTGGATGTGTGTTGAGGGAAAATGTTGCAAATTAGCATTATATATGATATTTTGTTGCTCAGTTTTACCTACGGAGATAGAGTTTGGTACCACATAGAAACTAGAGCTTACATTCTCCTTAGACTTACAGTTTTCAATATATCCTTTCTAACTGACATTTAAAATGTATTTCTCTAGTTAATCAGTTTCAGGAAACAATGGAAAATATTGTACATGACATGTAACGTGGTTTGTTTAAAGATTTATATATTCATACAGAATTGGGGTAAAATTCAGAGGTTTAGAGGGGATGAAAGGATTCACCAGAGACAGAGTGGTAGTAGAACAGGCAGATTAAGGAAGTACACTGCTGAGGGAGCCGGAGGTGAGATAGGAGAGGTCTCCTGCCAACTGGGTCAACTCCCTGGCCTGAAATGGAACTTGTGTTGCAGTAGCTGCAGCTAGCTTCCTTCCTAGCACTGTAATTTAACCCATTGCACCACCAGGGAGGGCCCTAATATGTGATTTAATACGAGTATCATAGATAATCTAAATAATAAAAAACAAATACAGGTCTGTTTTTTAAAAAAATAAAAAAATTGGAAAAAAAATAAAACCAACCGCAAGAAAAAAAAATATATGAAGTGTTATATCGAAGAGAGTAAATTTAGATTATATAACCAAAGTGTGTGTATAAGAAATATAGTAGTCTGGGCCCTCCTTGGTGGCAGAGCAGGTTAAAGCACAGCACTGAGAAGCTGAAGCCACTTCAGCATGAGTTCGATCACCCCCCGGGAGGTGACCTCTCCTGACCCACCCACTGCTTCTCTCAGCAGAGTACTTCATCAGTCCACCTGTTCTGCTCCCCACTCTGTCTCTGGTGAATCCTCTCACTGCCCCTGCACCTCTGGCCTACAACCCAATTCTGTATGCATAAATAAATAAATCTTAAAAAAAAAAGAAATACAGTAGCCTTGAATCTATATTTATCAGTTTTATGATCAGTTAAACTTGTTCTCCTGTACTTAAAAAAAAAAAACAATGAATGGCATTTATTAGAAGTACTAATAACAAATTGTATGCTCCCAATAAATGAATCAAAACATGTCATCCAGAGTGGGCTGTGCGCTTGAGATTTGCCAGCGCTTGCGTGTCATGATAGCAGCAGTAACATGTCATATTCTATTATTACATTTTTTTTCAACTGTTCCATCCCATTTCCCCCCATTTTCCCTGTCCATATCCCACTATTCTTTATTCAGAGGGCATTATATCCACCAGATCCATGAACTGTGGAAGTGCAATAGTGGGTCCATCCAGTTTCTGCATCCAGTTCTGATATTAAAAATATTGCTTAAGGAGATAACACTAACAGGATGGAAATAGAGGAAGCTCCTTGCATTGCTCTCAAAAGGAAACATGCAACAATTGACCAAAGAGACACTACACCAAGAGTAGTTATAGAAATACCATCTGGACATTAGAGACCAACAGCCGAGGGGAGCTGAAGGTACTCATGCTTCATTTAACAGGACATGTGTATAAAGAAATACCTAGACGCTATGCTCAGGGGACATGGACAAAAATGACAGGGGGCGGTCATTTCAGCCAGGAATCCTGATGAAATGAGCAGAAATTATGTGAAGACTCACATACATGAATAAGGGACACCTCATTAAAAGGGACTGGGGTGGGCCCTCCCTGGTGGTGCAGTGGGTTAAAGGGCAGCACTTCAAGCAAGCCACAGTCGCTTCAGTGTGAGTTCAATTCTGCACCCTTCTGCCCCCCACCCCCCTGTGATCAACATGGCGAGGCAGACCTCTACTGACCTGCCCGCTGCTCCCCTCAGCAGTGTACTTTCTCGATCTGCCTGTTCTGCTCCCCACTCTGTCTCTAGTGAATCCTCTCACCCCCTGCACCTCTGACCTGTACCCCAGTTCTATATGAATAATCTTTTTTTTTAAAGGATCTCTGGTACTCCATACTACTAGGGACACAGGCAAGGTCCCTAGTAGACTAGATTGTCAAGTTCTACATCTGAAACGCCAGAGAGCAGAGATGGTAGTAGTGCCACATACATGCCCCAGGCTTTCCCTAGGACATTTGTACCAACAGCTGTCCTCTCCATACTCTTCTCCACCCTGCTGAATCAGCAAACACAAATAGTTCTCTGTGCTTACTGAACCTAGCAAAGGTCACAAAAATCAAATCATGCCACATGCCAACTATGGGGAAAATGAAAGTAGAAAATGTCTTAAATGTCTGCTATAGATTTACAAATACAGAAATTTAAAGAAGGTGAGTGGGCAAATGTATGTGTGTGTGTGTGAGTGTGTATATATATATGTATATATAACATATATATGTTATGTGTGTATGCATATATATATATATATATATATATATATATATATATATATATATATATAACCATTTCAGACCTCAAAGTAATAAGACACCATAAGGAGAGAACAACTTTCCAGAATCCACCCACAAAGACATGGGAATTTTTTCTGTCCATCAGAGTTCAAAACTATATAAAAGAAACTAAGGGGATAAAACAAAACACAGAAATTTAAGTCAAAGTGATACAAGAGAAATCAGAAAAGCAAATCAACAAGATAAAACAAATTGAAAAATATTAATGAGCTCACAAACAAAATTAATGAACAGAGGTGTAAACTGAAGTGAAAGTAAGACAATAACAGAGATTTATGATGTAAATATCTTAATAAAAGAGTAAGAACTATAAAGAAAGCTATAAAAGCAGCATAGACCAAATAGAGGAATGATTGATCTCAAAAGATAGCAATACACAAAAGACCAAGTAGAAGAAAGATAAATAAGACACAAAAATGAGGAAGCATTTACTAAGAAAAGCAAGAAAGGGAGAATGGATATTCTAGAAAGGGTAGAGAAAGAGAGCAAGGAACATAAATCTTATTAAAAAAATAAATAACCCATGTAAATTTCTGAAACCTGAGGAAGGAACTAAACACACAAGTCCATGATGCTAAAAGAGTATCTGGTTATGTAAATGCAATGAGACCTACAGCAAGGCACACAGTAGTGAAATAGTTAAGAGTTCAATAAAAAGAAAATACTGAAGGTTGTGAGGGGACAAAAGGTACACATCATGCTCACATCATGCTTCCCAGAATAAACTCTGCATTCAAGGAAAGAAATGATACATTCAAAATGCTCAGAGATAAAAACTACAAGAAGACACATATCTATAAAACCTCTTTCTAGGCCCATTTGAATCTATGCAGGTGTTTCTTTTTTTTTTTTTCTCCTTTACCTAATAAACCTGTCCTTCTAAAATGTAAAATAGATAAATAACTAAGACTTTTCAAATAGTAGAGAAAAACAAAGGCCTTTCCAGACATTTATATACTGATGGAGTTTACCAACACTAACCCTCCTGACAAGAAATAATCAAGGAGCTCTATCTATAATGAAGAAAGGAAAATATACAATATCAAACATGGAAAATAGTAGAAAGATTCAGAAAGTTAAAGGCCAAATGGCCATGTCAAATCCTCATATCAAGTCCTCATATATCAATAATTGTCCTTAATGTAAATGGGCTAAATGAACCAATCAAAAGGCACAGGAAGTGGCTGGTTTCATCCTCAAACAATACACAGCCTTCTGTTGTCTCTAAAAAGCCCATTGAATTCCAAAGATAACAACAAGCTAAAAG